GGCCCTCCGTGCACCTCCGCCCGGGACTCCTGTTTTCTGCTTTCTCTCCGTTTCCCCCCTTCCCAGGCGGAAAATCTGCTCAGTCAGCTGCAGGAGAATTTTCAAGCTCTGACGGAAAAGATAACTCTGAGAAATATCCTCTTTTGGACCCGGTTACGGGCTCTGCGGGACTGGGCGTGGTGTCCCCCTTCATCCCGCCTTACCGAGCGATGTAAGGAGGGCTCTGCCCTTGAAAATCGGGATGCGCTTTTTTCTAAACATCAAATTAAGCTATAACGATTTGCGTTGTCAAACACCTATGCTATAAAAACAGCTGAATTGCCCCCCAAGCCTGTTTGGTTTTCCCTTTGCTAAGAAGGAAATCCTAAAAAAGGCTTTACTATCAACTCCCGGTGAGTCTCTATGCAGCAGTTCTTGCTGTCAAATAAAACAAGCAACAGCCTATCTGTAAAAGATAGCTTTCTCATTAGATGTACTTACAGAAACTACCACTGCTTTCTGAAACTGTGGATTTATTACATTTTCCATTTTTTCTGAAACTCGGCCTTTCAGGAAGCAGCTACATATGAGAACAATGTTTTAGCAGCACTCATATTCCAATTTGTGTAGGTTGGTTGTATGATATCACCTAAAATAGTTCTTCAGAAAGAAAACAGTCTTTTACACAGAAAATATTCCAGTTTGCTCATGGGCATACAGGGAGGCATTTGAAAATATTTAGGACTGGAATGCTTCTCTGTTGCAAGAGCATGGGATTGTCTTCTAAAAAGACAACCTTGTGCATGCTTTGTCTTGTGTTAATGTTGAACATGAATGTGTAAGCGGCTGAGACATCTGGAAGAAAGCTTATTGTTTTTTTCTGACAGGAGAAAAAACTATAAAATTATAGAGTTCTTATAAAGTAGTAAAGTTGTCTTTAACTTTTTACTGGAAGAAATGGGCGAGCGCATTGATGACCTTGAGAAGCACGTTGCTGACCTGATGATAGAAGCTGGGATAGAAAACACCGATGAAGAGCCTAGAGTAAAGAAACTTGATTAAGTTTTACTGTATTTTATGTATTTCCACTTAGTTTTGAACTATGGGCAGCACCTAGCATGAAAATATGTACATATTTATCACACCTGCATTTACTTGGATTTTGAAGTACATGGAGATTTAAGTGTATTTAAAATTACCTTGGATATTTTTTTGCCAAAGAACGCTACCACTTTTTCAGAAGAAAAACTGTAGCATGCCGCATGCATTCCAGCTGATTGCCATATACACGGGGTAGTACAAATTAATCTCAAATATGTTAACTGAGGCTGTACATTTTGTAATAAGCTGTGTGTGGTTTAAAGCACTCCTGCCCTGCATTCCTGTCCCTCGAGGATGCTAACCTGGCTGACTGAGGATTCTCGCTGGTGTAAATTCATGTAACAGCTGCTTTTAAACCTGCTTCAGCTTCCTGGTGAAGCTCTGAGCACACCTCTTAAATACATTCACCCCACACAGTGCAGCAGTTTGTTCTTGCAGCAGTATGATGGGGTATGCAAGGAGAAAGGATAACTTTAGTGATATTGCCAAACGCTCCGTAATGCAAAATCATGCTACAGTTCAGGATTGGGTGCTGAATTTTGTATTGCTCTCTGTTCCAAATGCCATCTCCCTGTCCCAATGGATGTCTTTGTTGGTGTTCTTAGTATTTATGACATAGCACTGCTTCTGTGTTCAGTGGGTGATGCCTTCTTCCCGTTGCTGCCTGCTTTCCTGGTTCAAACTGAGACCCATCAATTATTTTTGTCATTTAGAGACTGCTCACTCAGTGAAAGAGAGGAGTGTATGTAAATATGCTGAAGTAATTTTGGCTTCTATTCGTTCTGATGCCTTTTCTGTGATGAGCTATGAAATAATTTTCAGAACTACAATCTATGAAGATGTATTTAACTGTATAGAGTTCTCCCTATTTTTGTCCTGAATCACATTCATGAATAATTAAACCACTAACCTACTTATTCACTGTTTCTCTGCAGCACTGAAATGAGGATGTGACCAAGAAAGATAAGAGTGAGAACAGCACCACACTGAATCTGGGAGTTTAAAGTCAGTGCCACTAGCCACAAAAAGTCAGTGAAAACAAACGCACTCCTGTCATGTCACAATAGATTTATTTTTTGTAACTATTGCCCCAGGAAAAAAAAGTAGAAAGCTGGGTTTATTCATCTAAATGGGATGCTATTTCCTGTAATTGGGAAAGAACTGTTAGTCTCAAGGAAGGCAAACCCACTATTTTGACTGGAAAACTGTATCCTATATAGTGAACTTACCCAAAAACTTTTTCAATATATGAAAGTATATTTCATTTATTTTAATATTAAATTTTTCATCATATTTGTTGCCTTTTTAACTTGTTCTCCGAATAACAAGATCCTTCTATGACAAAACCTTTCCATTTGCATGTGCCATTTTGATACTGCTTTAAATGTTTCATACTACAAAATATACCTTATTTGATGTTCCTACAAAGGTACCTTTGCAAAACTCCATAGATCAAATGAATATAAACTGTTCTGCACTAGAAGAAATGGCAGTGTTTGCACAGATTACAGGTATTCAGTTGGTACTCTTTTGACAAGCCCACCCAGAGCTACACACACCTGTGCAGATAACATCATCCAGGTATGCATATTGTGGCAATTTCAGTTCTTTAAAGACTTTGAAATAGATAAGGAATTCTAGTTACCAAACATGACCTGAACACAAGAGTCGAAGAAAACAGGACACCTGCAGTAACTTTAAGGTTCTTGTAGACCAAAACACTGGCACTTTTGGCAGGAAATATTTTGTTTGACACTTAATGGGAATTCCTTAAATACAGAAATTGAAGCATTATCAGGGAAATAGAATACCTCAGCTACTGAAGGATAAGTATGCTTTTTAAACTTTGGCAGGTGTTAATACTTGGCATCTATTAGAGAGTCTTCATTAATATCAAGACATCATTCTAATCAATGCTTTAATCAGTGTGGATTTGCAAGCAATGTCAAACTGAGGGGAGGTTGATGTACTAGGGGACAGCTGGAGATGGGCCAACAGGAACCCTGTGAAGTTCAAAGGCAAGTGCCAAGCTTCCAGGACAGGGCAAGTCTGTGCTGCAGAGCAGCTGTGAGGGGCTGCTGGCACACAGCTTTGCAGGAGAGGAGTGGTGGCCAAGTTGAACACAAGTCAGCAGGGTGTCCTGGCCACAAAGACTGCAGCCACATACTGGTCAGTACTGGCACAAGTAGAGTTAGAGTCATTCATCTCCAACTCCTGTGAGACCACACTCAGAATGCTGTGTCATTTTGGGGCTCCCCAGTTCAAGAAATATATTGTTACAAGGGAATTAAACAGAGCCACCAAGGCAGGGTGGAGTACAAAGCGTATGAGCGTTTGAGAAAATTCTGTTAGTTCAGCATTAAGCCAAGACTTATGCTTTCCCCCGTGGGAAACAGTCAGACTCTCATGGGAGGTGTTTTACATGAGAGTCGATAGACACAAGCTGAAACACAGGAAATTCCACCGAGGTGGAAGTTTTTTCAACTCTGAGGGTGCTCAAGCAGAACATGCTTTCCAGAAATGCTGAGGAATCTCCACCCTTAGAGATACTCAAAACTGGACAGTCCTGGGCAACCTGATCAAATGAGACCTAATTTGGGAGGCTGGACTAGACCTCCAGTAGTATCTTCCAAATGATTCCATAATTAATAACCACTGTAAATCAAATTAATTTAATTTTACTTCCTTGACTCATTCTAAATCCTCTAAAACACACACATGGTAAAAAAGCATATTCCACTTTGCCTTGTGACAAACTGAACCAGAAGTATCAGTATCTCCTTTCTGCATAGTCTGGCTTGTTTTCTCCTCTTAATCCTGTAAATATGCAGGTATCAGTTTAAAAACAAAAACACACCACCCCCTACCACTGGGTCCATTACTGCAAAACAAAAGTTGTCAGAAATGCAAGTAGAAACTTCAAAAGCTGTGCTCTAATGGAATCCAATCCAAGTCTCATGAGTATATATTTTGCTGTACTATTAGACAAATTGGAGGTCAAATGAGAGAAAGCACTTTCTTGAACTGTTGACTATGCAGCCAGCTTCAGTACTAAAATTACCCTTTGGCACTGCAGAATCTACCAAGTACTTCAAACTGACTGCTGTATGCATAATCACCATGAAAATGAAGTCCATCACCAAAGGTGATGGGGGGCAGGGTGCACAAAATCATGGCACATGTTTTCTCGTGAGTTTTGCTAAATATTACTTCTTGGAGTTGTGCTAAATATTAATAAATGCATCTCAGTGTTTTATTCCTATTTTTAGAGCACACAGAAGACCATGATACTATGCAAGGAAATCCTGACAAAAGGGATAAGCATTCAACATTGACTTTGTATTCTATTACACTTGTTTACACTCTCAAATTTAATTAGCTAAAGAAAACTAAGGTGAAGTGGAACTCACTTTATTCTTTTAAAAAAAGCTATAGTTTTCTCAGATATTTGTGTAACAAAATCAAACAGACAGTTGAAATGTTTTTCTGCAAACAGGCTTTTTGTGTACAAAAATACATCATACCAAAAGGACAACAGAGAGTAAAGTCTCTAAAAACTAAAACTCAAAAAACCCTGAAAATTCAGCTACAGCATTACTGCAGTCAGACAGTTCCAAGCTTCAAGTCTTCTACTTTTCCAAATGGAATTAAAACCCTTTAAATAATTCAAAATATGTTCAAAGCTGAAGGATCTGTAGATTTTTTTTCTTTTAATATATATATATATATGTACACACATACACAGGAATAAATTTAAGTGGATGGGATGTAGGGTTAAAAAAGAGGCAGCCTCAAAGAAATGTCAGTATCTGTATTTAGTAGAATAATCTTTTGGCGATACCACCAAACCTCGACCTTTGCGGGCTCCTCTATAAACAGTTTCTATAATGTCAATCATCTCTTGCTTATCTTCCATTGCCCAGTTGATCTTGTTGTTATTACCTGTACCTAAATCAATCATGATGTGTTTGTTCCTTTAAAGGGAAAGAAAAAAAAACCAGACACGTTAATATGGCATTATAATTCAAAAATAAACTTTATATCCCCCATAAGAATGCACTGTAGGTTCAAATGAAGCCCTTGTGACAAACAGGCTTGCAAAATAACCCTCACATAGAGTATCCATTCCTGTCACTCAAGTTGACATTTTACTGCTTATTTCTACAGCTAGAATAAAGACTGCAAACATTCCCCCAAGATTGCGACTCAGTGCAATTATCCTTCAGCATATTCCTTATTGTTTATATTCCTTTCCCACTACTATCTAACACCAGAGAGACTTCTACGCTTGTCAGTAGCACATTTTATCTCATCAATGCAGATGCCTTAACTCCAAAAACACTTTGGGTAGATCTTTAAAGCAAGTTTGACAAGCTTGACTGCCATATTACTGCAGTATTCTATACAAGGAGTTTCAGACTTAAAACTGAAAACAATGGATAATAAAACCTGTTTTCACTATCACTAAGTTGTACTCTGTTATCAAAACACTTATACCAGGCTAACTGGAAAACAAGTTATTTTCCTGTTTAATCAATTTGCTCTTTTGTAGAGTAATGAAAAATATAAGCATCAGTATGCTAATACACATTTGGAAATTATCTACTGAAACACTGTATTTGACACACCAAAAATTTAACTGAGTAACATTCTAGAACCATCGTGTACCTGAAGAAAAACATGACGGTACAGGGATCGTACAACTCGTACATCTTGTTGAAGTCTGGTACTTCAGTGATATCCACAAGATAAATAACAGCGAAGTTTTTTACCTAAACAGAAGAAAACAGGAAATATAAAAGCAATATCTATTACCAAGACTTGGATTATTTGTATTGCTGGTTAAAATACATAAGCTTTCAGTACTGCAACATTCACTTTCCAAGATATTAAGTCATAAAAATCACAGTAAACAGTCTTGCCATTATTTTTAACCACAACGTCCAATTAACATGGAAAAT